GGCCCCGCCAGTGGGAGCGCTCCCGCTCGCCCCAGCCCGAGGAGTCCCCGCACCGGCGGGACGGGGGGTCCGGCCGGGCCCGTCCCACCGCCAGCCGCCGCCCCGCCGCCAGCGCCGCCGCCGCCATGGAGGCCGCGAAGCTACGGTGGCCGCCGGGGGACATTCCGGGACGCCAGAGCGACCCCTGGCGGCTGGGAGGAGGCGCAGCGGCCGGTGCAGGCGGGAGGCAGGGGAAGGGGCTGCCCGGTGCAGGCGGGAGGCGGGGGAAGGGGCTGCCCGGTGCAGGCGGGAGGGCCTTCGGGCAGGGGGAAGGCAGGCAGGGACCGCTTCACTCCCAGGGGGACAGGGGTGACACAGCCCGGCCACCCCGCAGCCCCTCTACCCCGTGGCCGCTGGGATGTCCGGCAGCGGATCCCCCCCCGGGGGGCTCTCCTGCTGTCCCGCTGTCCCGTTCTCTCCAGGCACGGCCTCCTCTTCCCCCTCGGGGCGTGGGGTGCTCTCCCGGGCCGGCTCCTCCTCCTCACCCGGCGCTGGCAGGAGGAAGGCCAGCGGCTCCCTGAGGGCACCCACGTCGATGCAGCCCAGGTGGCCAAAGCGCTGCAGCTGGGTGGGGGGGACACCTGCCAGACAAGGAGAAGGGGCTCGGGTTGGGGGGGGGCCCTCAGGCAACCCCCCCAGAGGTGGCAAGAGCAAGACAGGACCCAGTATATCTCATGGGGAGGAAACCACAGGTGCTCTGCCCCCACCCACAGCTCCCTTCCCCACGAGATGCGAGTTTTGGGGTCTCACCCAGGGCCTGCACGATCTGTGCCGGGGGGAAGAGGACCTGGAGGCAGCGGTTGAGGTAGGGCAGCAGGTCCTCCAGGAAGGCTGTGCAGAACTGGGCAAAGAGCTCCTGCTCCCGCCCGCTGAAAGCCGCCTCCTCTGCACGGTGAAAGGCCAGGATGGTTTTGGTCACCTGGAGGGAAAGGCAGAGTTGTTAATTTCCCGGAGAGTCATTAACTATCTCTGCAGACAACCCCCCCTCAACTGCAGGGACAAGGGGAATCAGCAGCTGGAGAGCTGCCTGATGGAAAAGGATCAGCTGAATACAAGCCACCAGGGTGCCCAGGTGGCCAAGAAGGCAAAAAGCATCCTGGCCTGTATCAGGAATAGTGTGGCCAGCAGGACTGGGGCAGGGACTCTCCCCCTGTACTCGGCACTGGTGAGGCCCCACCTCAAACACTATGTTCAGTTTTGGGCCCCTCACTAAAGGGAAGACATTGAGGTGCTGGATTGAGCCCAGAGAAGGGCAATGAGGCTGGTGAGGGGTCTGGAGCACGAGCCTCATGAGGAGCATCTGAGGGAACTGGGGTTGTTCAGCCTGGAAAACAGGCAGCTGAGGGGAGACCTTCCCGCTCTCTACAACTCCCTGAAAGGAGGGTGCAGCCAGGGGGGAGTTGGTCTCCCAAGTAACAAGCAATACAACAAGAAGAAACAGCCCCAAGTTGTGCCAGGGCAGGTTTAGATTGGATATTAGGAAAAAATTCTTCACTGAAAGGGTTATCAGGCATTGGAACAGGCTGCCCAAGGAAGTGGTTGAGGCACCGTCCCTGGAGGTATTTAGAAGACATGTAGATGTGGGGCTTGGCAACATGGTTCAGTGGTAATTTAGCAGTGTTAACCCTTGGACTCGATGATCTTAAGGGTCTTTTTGAACCTCCATCACTCTATCCTATGAATACTCAGAGCAGGGTGAGTCTGTCCCCATGTTCTCCTGGGACAAGGCACAGCTCCATCCCCTGGTGCCTCACCTCGCCAAGAGCGTCCTCCAGGCACGTGGTGACATCCTGGGCCAGGGCGATGGGGCAGCAGAGCCGCAGGTCATTGAAGGCGACCAGGAGGCCGTTGAGGAAGCAGGCGAGGGGTGGGAAGTCCAGCAGCACCATGGGTGGCTGCAGCGTCCCTGGCTGGGCTGTGGGCACTGGCACCCCAGCGCTGCCCCCCAGGACGGCCGGGGCAGAAATGAGCGTGTAGGAATTCATCTCCTCCCGAAACTTGTCCACCGTCTCCTCCACCGCCTTCCTGAAAGCAGCGGCAGCCACGCGCTGGAAGAGGGGGGCCAGCTGCCCACGAAAATCGGCCCCCACCCTGCTGAAGGAGAGGCCGAAGTACATGCACTGCCCCAGCAGCGAGTCCAGGCGGCCGCCCACCCCGCGCTGGAGATCGCGCTCCAGCGTCCGCAGGAACTCGGAGACCTTCTGCAGCACCCAGCCATGGAAGATGGCCCCCTCGTTGAGGGCCTGCCCCTCGGGGGGCAGGAGCGGCTCCTCGTCAGAGAAGATGGCGCGATACTGAGTGATGATGTCGAAGAGGTGGACGCGGCAGGCCTCGATGGTCTTGGTGATGTGGAAGTAGGGGTCATCATCGGGGATGGAGGCCTGGATGGAGCGCAGCCAGGCATCCCGCGCCTGCAGGAACTTGATGCGCAGCTCAGCCTCTGTGAAGACATCCATGCGCCGCAGGTAGCCAATGACCCGCAGGCAGGCTGGCAGCTGGATGTTGGTGCGGAGCTGCTGGATGAGCTGGTTCAGCATCAGCTGGGTGGACTGGCGCACCTCGTCCACGATGCCCTGGGGTGGGAAAGAGGCCTCAGCTGCAGGGGCCGGGCACGGGATGGCGGCAGGGCAGTGGCAGAGCGGGGCCTACCTGGATCACGGGGATGCTGCTGTGCTTCCTCTCCAGCCGGCGCACGTAGGCAGCGAGCTCCAGCGCCTCCTCGTAGTAGCCGTTGCGGACGCAGGTGTCCATGAGCTGGGGGATCTCGAGGATCTCCAGGATCTCCGTGTGCCGGTTCAGCGTCAGGCTGTTCATGCGCCGGCTGCAGGCGATCTCCTCAGCATCCCGCATGAAGTTCCTGTGGGATCAGGGTGGGATCAGCAGAAGTTTCCCCCCACAGTGACTGCACCTCCCACCCATACTGGCTTTTCCCCAGCACCACTCAGGGACCCCTCCCAGTGCTGCCCCTACCCCCCCAGTCCCAGCAGATCCTAATTCTTACTGGGCCCAGCACCAGGACCCCCCTCGCCCTCCCCAGCCCAGTCTTCACCGGTCTCCCCTCCCCGCAGGGCTGCTCCCGCACCCCCAGCCCCCGTCCCAGCCTCCCCCCGTCCCCGCTCCTTTCTGCTCCCCCCCAAGTCCCTCCACTTCCACCCGTGCCTTCCCCACCCCGGGGTGCCCCCGCTGCCCCAGCCCCCGTCCCCGCACCGGCAGGCGTCCTGGAGGGCGGGCAGGCGGTCCAGCAGGCTGCC